GATAGGGGTATGGCAGGGGGCTCCCACTTTGCCCTAAGTCTGTTCACCAGTGACACTAGGGTGAAAAGTGTCTTACTCCCCTGCCTGTGTGGTCATTTTTAAGGAGATGGACATTTGGGCAGCATCCTTAGGGAATACCATAATATATAACTCTCTGTCCATACCCACGTTTACACATATGCATTGTTGACTGGTTGGTTGTTTTGAGATAAGATCCCAAGTAGCTCAGACAAGCCTCAGGATTTATACAGCTGAAGAGTTCCAGATCTTCCTGTCTCTACCTCCTGAGTGCTAGGATTACAGGCCATTGCCATCATGGCCAGTTTGTGCATGTTAGGCAAGCATTCTACCAAGTGAGCTGCATCCCAAGCCCCTTTGTTGTTTGTCTCACTTTGTAGTTCAGGTTGGTTTTAAGCTTTTAGCAATCCTACTACCTTAAGCTTCCCAAGTTCTGGAATTAGAAGTGCATACCATATGCATGCCTTTAATCCCAATACTCAAGAGGCAGAGGCAAGCAGATCTCTGAGACCAGCCAGGTCTACAGAGCAAGTTCCAGGACAGCTAGGGCTACACAGACAAAACACAAACAAAAAGAGTATATGCCACAATACCATGTCTCTTGCTTGATGGCCTTTCATGAAGACATTTTTTTTCCCATTAACACTCAGTCTCTTCTTTCCCTCTCTTAGGCTATGGCCCCATCATTTGTATGTGTGTGTGTGTGTGTGTGTGTGTGTGTGTACATAGAGATATAGATAGATATAATAGGAACCTGATATGGCAACTCCTGATTTATTCTCAAGTACAAACACAGCAAAGGAGGGAGGAAAGTCACAGACCAGATTAATGTGACAGGTATGTGGATTTTTTGAGAGCAGATAGTGGCCTGGAGGGTCACCTCAGAGATTCAACATTATGAAGAGCCCCCATGGGGTCATTTTTATACAGCATGAAGTAGCCTTGCACCTGAGCTGGACTAATCTGGAACGTAGCTTTAAGGGCATGTTCTGCAAAGTTCTCAGCCAAGGAAGGCGCATGCCCTGGATAGAATCTCTGGAACATCTGGGTCAGCTGCCAGTGTGAGCAGTAGCCCACATACTCCTTCAGATCTACTCGCCCAGGGCGTATGAGGGCAGGATCCAGCCTAAGAGGAAAAGCAGAGTCACAGACACAGTCCCGCTAGTGCCCGAAAGCGACAATCACCTCAACCCAATTCACCCGAGGCAAAGGAGCAGAGCTCTGCCTTCCTTTCTCCTTACCTGTCGATGTGGTTGGTGGTCATGAACACAATGCGTGCCTCAGTGGAGGCTACACCATCCAAAGCATTGAGCAGTCCACTGAAGGTCAGACGGCCTAGACCTTGGTATTTTACAGGGTCTAGAGGGTGACAGGAATGTGAGAGGTCATTTCTTAAAGTCGTGCCCCAAATCATCACTGCAGACCCCTATTTATCAGTGTCTCTTGTTGCTGACTTAGGCCTCCAAAATTTCTGTTCCTACTCTTCCTCTCAGTATCTTCAATAATTACCTCCCTGGGCCAGGAACATGGCTCTGTGGTTTAAAAATTAAAAAAATAAAAATAAAAAAGAAAGAAAGAAAAGAAAAGTGCTAGCTTCACAAGCCTGTAGACCTATACAAGTTTGAGCTCAGAATTCAAGTAAAACTCTAGATACAGTGGCACTATCTAAATCTTAAGGCGTGTTGAAGGTAGAGGCAGGGGCATGGCAGAACCATCAAAAGAGATGCTGCACCACAGGGTACAGGTAAGCACTGACTCCAAAAGCCTGTTTTCTGACCTCCATGTGCACGTGCCTGCATACTACATTAACTAAATACAAAAGCCTCCCCATCCCCAGCGTCCTCACTTACTCTCCACGGCCAAGTCTCGACTGAGAAAAGCAGCGTCCACGTCCTCCAGGAGTACCAAGCTCTGCTGTGGGGCTACGCTTAGCAAATGGTTGAGCCGGTCATCGGAGAGGCTAGAGTCTGTGAGACTGAGCAGGCAGATGCTGTATTCCAGTACTCCAGCCAGAGCTGTTCTGTGGACAGTGACATGGGAGGACAGTGACATGTCTTTGGGTGTCCTAGGAGATATACCTCAGAGACCCAAGGCTCCTATATCACCCACTTGATACGGATCTGTGGATCTCGTTCACCCTGATTCTTGGTTCCCAGATTCACATCTCTTTTCCAACCCTATCAGTCCAGTTTTTCTGCAAAGGATGTTTTTCAGAGTCAAGAGAATTTAACTACTCACATAAAACTGCTCTTTCCACAACCAGGGGGCCCATAAAGAAGGTAGCCACGTCTGTAGGGAATGCCTAGGGATATAACCAGGATAAAGAAGCCCTAAAGTGAAATGTGTACTCTGGCCCAGGCACATTCATTCTCAGCTCTGTTCCCTATGAGTGGTTTTAGTATCAGGGAAAAAAAAAAATCCTCATAGACAAGTTTTCTGTTCTCTACAACCTGAGCTAGAATCTGAATACAGACTACCCTAGATCCCAGCTGCCTCTTACCTCTGTCAATGTACCACTTGGGGTTATCAATGAATTCTCGGATGTCTTTGACAATTCGGTCAGCCAGACCCTGCTGCAGGACTACCGAATCCAGTGGCCGCCGGCGGCGTGGATAACCAAAGGTCCGCCATTCCGAACCCACAGCTGTGTACATCACGGTCTTCCCTTCCTCCTGTTGCAGGGCTAGCGCTCGAGCTGGGTGCAAGGAAGGAAGTCAGTAAGTCTCTTGATCACAGTCGATTCTTCAATGAGGTAGAGCTCCGACCTGCTACCTCCTCCCACCTGGGTCCTTACTACTCCTCTCCAAGCAGCTGATGCCCAACCTCCCCATTCCTGAAAGCCTGCCTGTCCCATCTCATACCTTCCTCCAGGATGTTGAAGAAAACCTTCCGGTCAGTGCCCAGGGCTGTGAAGGTGACCGACTCCCAAGGAGTCCCCGTTTGCAAGTCTACCATCTGCATGTCTCGATTTCGTTCCACCCGGATCCATTTCCCCTTATACCTGAATGAAATTGTCAGGGTGACCCAGTTTCCTCCATTCATCTGCCCTATCCTTAGAGCCCTTCCTGGCTTCCAGTCTTACCAAATGAAGTGGTTCCCAGGACTTGGGATAAATTCAAACTTGGTAGAGATTCGGCCACTTTCGTGCTGAAGATATGAGGTCTCAACACTGAGGTGCTGAGTGTGGGTACTGTGCCGGGTTAGCCAGCTAAGCAACCAGCCATAGCTTCTGTCTCTAGCAGGAACTTCCAGTGTGATCATGTAATGGCGCCGAAATGCCACTAGACCCAGTTGGACTCCTTTCCGGGCCACAGCCAGAGCAGTGCCCACACCGACCAGTCCAAAGCCGGCCCCAAAGTAGGGATTGTCTTTCAGGGCCAGAACAAAGTCTGTAAATGGCATCTTGAAAAGAAAAAAACCCAGATGCTTAACAGGCCCTGAGGCACTGTCAAAAGCTAGGGGTGGAAAGCAGCAGAGCTGGAAGAAAGCATAAGGCTGGTTTAGAAACTAGACCCATCAAGCTTGCCCCCACTCCCACCCACAGAAGCAAAACAGACAGGCCAGCAATACTGTGCGCTTCCGTGTCCTTTTGTGGAATAGGAACGGTGTTGGAAGGCCAGGGCAAATGCCCCAGGCTCTTCAATCCATTTGCTCTTCAGACAGAAGACCTTTTGCCAGAAGACCATGTTGAGATTTTCTCAACTCCAGAAAACAATGTAACCAGCTTCACATCAGGATACTAGAAAAGCAAGACTTTGGTCTCTGGCAAGAGCTGAGACAGAAAGAATGCCCATTGGATGAAATAAGCAAAGGTGATTTTTTTTTTTTTCCATTGATCTATCAGTGACCACATGCCTTAACATTAGAAATGGCCTTCAGATATCATAAGACATAAGATGGTGAAGTTTCTAAAGTATTGTTCAGGCCTTCGTTCCCACCTAAACTATTTCGTGCAAGTTGGGTTTTTTGTTGTCTTTGTTGTGTTTTTTTGTTTGTGTTTTGTTTTGCTTTTTGAGACAGGGTTTCTCTGTGTAACGGCCCTGGCTGTCCTGAACTCACTTTTTAGACCAGGCTGGCCTGGGAACTCACAAAGATCTGCTTGCCTCTGCCTCCCAAGTGCTGTGACTAAAGTCCTTCGCCACCACGCCAGGCTAAATTTTAGTTCCTGAAGTGGCATTTGAATGGACCTTCAGCGCTTGCATCATCCAGTCGCCACAATCGGCCCCGCTCCAATTGTGTCACTTTTACTCCAGCACCCTCGGTGACTGCTCCCATTGGGTTCAAACACCACAGCCGGGTACATAGGATCGTCCACATTAGAATGGTTTACTACCAGTTCAACAAATACGCCAATCACTACCTACCTCTGGCTCACTCAGTTCTGTTGTTTCCGAATGCCCCCTTCTTTATTCCTGGCATTCTTCTTAATTTATTCCTGGCATTCTTTTTAGTTGAGATCTTATAGGCTACTTCCTCCACGGACCCTTTTTCAAATTCAACCAAAAAGATGTGACTAGGCCTAGCTGTGGACAGTACCCAAGGGGAAAGGACAAATTATTTCCAGCACACCTCTCCTGAGACTCTCCACCACCACCTCTGTGACCTCCCGCCAGGCACGCCGGGCACCGGTGAATTGATAGCCGTGACCTCCGCTAAGGCTCGGAGCTAGGATTCAGAATTCCAAAGCACCTTTGCATGGAGAGCCACTGACAAAGCTCTTCTTGGCTCCGGTTCCGGAGCCCGGCACGCAGCAGCTGACTCTCGGACACCCTACAGCTCGCGCTTCCAGGAACGTGTTGTGGAGCCGCCTGTCACCCCGCCCCCTTACCGCCGTGACTCTCTGGCCATCAGACTCGATGGTTTCACCAGGCCGCACTGGGAGGTAGCGCCGCTAGGCCCGCCCCCGAGCTCTGCATCTACTTCCCGCCACACCCACCACGATGTCCGTGCCACTCTGTCCTGCCGCTCTCGATGGTTCCGCTTTGCGCTTCAGAGCTTGGGTGCTAAAGGACATAGAGGGGAAAAAAAAAAAAAAAAAAAAACAACCATAGAGTAGCACTTGCCGCGAAGAGAGACTGCCACACGCCAGATTCCCAGAGGCGCCTGGGCCGGGGGCGGCCGCATCAAAGGCTTGAGGAGCCGCTCCAGTTGCAGTCGTACCATAGAGATGCATCCCCAGTCGGCCTTAGGGTAGAAGGTGAGAGAGCGGCTGTCGGCGGGAACCAGAAGTGCGGGCGCTGCGAGCTGGAGGTAAAAGTTTCTCTAGCCCCAGCATGAGTGGGCCTGGGAAGTGGGAACCCGTGGGAGGAGGTGCTGAGGGGAGCACGCCAAGGAGAGGGGCCCGGGCACATCTCCGCGGCAGCCAGGCGTCTCGGTCGCGTCACCGCTCCGGGCCCCACCCGGGTATCCGCTGCCTCTCCTCAGGACCATAATCGTGACGATGCATCATCCCAAGCCTTGCAGGTTCCAAAACGCCTTTCTCCTTCCCTGAATCTCGTGACTTGACTGTCGCCGGACAGTGTAGACGCTGTAGCCGCCTCCACTTTACAGATAGGAAAGCTGAGGCCCAGAGAAGCGAGGCAAGAGCATCTGTTCAAGGCCACACGGTGAGTCATAGCCCAGAGGCGCGTGGGAACCGAGGCTTCTGTGTCCCTTGCTTCTTCGGTCTCAAAGAAAGCACGGTACTTCTCTCTGGCTCACTCCTACCTCCCATGCTTCATCTTCCTGAAGCCGTGTGATGGGCTGGAAGATTGACTAGAGCAGCAGTTATGACTAGTCGGTGGAGGCTGTGGTTTCCAAAGAGCCTGTCTTTAGAAAAAGCACAGAAGTGCTTTTCCCTGCCACCTTCTGAATTCCTGTCTGTTCTTGGTGGTTTTGAGTGGATAGATTGTGTGGAATAAGGAATACCGCTTTTACCTGGCTCTTACTCTAAACCTCGGTGACCCTTTTTTTTGTTGTTTTTTTGTTGTTGTTGTTTTTTGTTTTTTTTTGTTTTTTTGTTTTTTTTGAAACAGGACCTCACTGTGTAGCTCTGGCTGTCCCGGAACTCACTGTGTATACCAGGCTGGTCTCAAACTCACAGATACCTACCTGCCTCTGCCACCTGAATTCTGGGAATTTAAAAGATTGTCTCACTTATTTCAGCCGTGCCTAACAGAGTGTGTAATTTATTTGTTTGTTCCCACTGGAGGCCTTCGGAAGTTAGTGAACTGGAAATTTACCTTGTATTTGAGGAACCACTGGCCTGATACCTGCAGTTCCATTGTCTGACTTATGTATAGCTTGTTGGCGCTTTGTGTTCATTGAGGTGAAAACGTCAACATACTACTCAAAGCTCCACATCCAATTCTGGGGATATGTAATAGCTCATTGGTAGAGTGCTTGCCCAGCATGTTCAAAGCCCTGGATTTGATCTCTCTCTCTCTCTCTCTCTCTCTCTCTCTTTTTAAGTGTGAGACTTGAGAAATGGCTCAGTGATTAAGAGTAAATGGTTTTCTTCCTAAGGGCCTGAGTTCAGTTTCTAGCACCCAGATCAGGCATCTGGCGGCCACTGCAGCCTCAGGGGATCTAACTCCCTCTTCTGGACAGTTGAGCTATACATCTATGAATGGAGACTGATAGGGAAACAATAGTGGTGTCTGTTAGTACATACAAAGACTGTCAGGATCCAGGAGAGAGAAAATTAAGACTGTTAGGAAGCATTCACAGCAGAAATGATATTTCTCTATTTTCTTAATTAGCCAGACAAGAGATTGAGGTAGATTGAATGGGAGGAGCAAGAAAGTAGAAGGGTCTGTAAGCAAAAAAGAATGAAATGAGTCAGAGAATGGCAGGTCATCTGATTAGGGGGGACAAGGTTGGGGTGGTTGTCTGGAGAAGTACTTCAAGGAGGACTGTAAGTGAAGGAATAGTTTTATAGCTACACTGAGGAATAATGAGATTATCAAGTAGAAAGAGAGAGATCCATTGGCCCCACTCAGTTTTGCAGTGGTCACTTAGCTAGCAAGAAACAGAACCTGTGATCTTTAATGTTGGCCTCAAGTTGCTGGTTCTCTACTAATACTGACTTCATTCTCGTTTTATACTTTTTGTGTTGAATGTTGTTTTGAAACTATTTAGAATAATAAAGTTTACATGTTGCCATAGAAGGAAATGCCTAACTTCAGAGAAATTAAGAGTTCTAACCATATTTTTTTTTCCTGGTTATTTGTCAGCATTTAGGAGGCCGCCCGCACACAAGTCAATGATAATGACAGACCCTGTGTTGGCATCACAGCTAGCTAACAGCACTGGAGAGATGGATGGATTATGCTCTGAACTATTGTTGATTCCCCCACCTCTCTCAAACCATGGAATCTTGGGCCCTGTCCAGAACACCTGTGCTTCTGGAGAGCCTGCACCTTTGCCTGCTGACCCAGGCTGCCTGCTGGTAGAGGCCACAGCTACTGAAGAGGGCCCAGAGAACATGGAGATTATTGTGGAAGCAGTAGCTGGAACCCTGTCCCCAGGAGCTTCTGGAGAGACCTCAGGTACAAGCATAGTTGCTACCAGGCCAGTGGGACACAGCCTTGAGTTTTTTGTCTATTTTTGGTCCTTCTCTTTGAATGTGATGAGAACACAAGGTAGCATGCTATTTTTATACCTGGAGATGTTACAATTTGGTTTGCAGTTGGTGCGTGTTGATGGAAGGCTGGCAAGGTAGTATACAGCCTTGTAACAAACTTTTGGCAACATTTATGCCTGAGAGAGCTTTGTTTGAGTCTGCTGGGCAGTAATCCAGAACAAAAAAAAAAAAAAAAAAAAAAAAAAAACAACCTTTCTGACACCTCTGCCCATTTGGCTTGTCCTTGTTCTTACAGTCCTTGGGGAGTCTTTCTTCCATACTGACCCTAAGCCAGCCAATGACTAGGTCAGAAGCCCAGCCTGATCAATCATCCTTAGTTTGGCAGGGCTTTCCAAAAATGACTGGCATTTCCTTGTTCTAGTTTCCTGTGTAACGCATTCTCCACTTACCCAGGGCATGCTCTTAAGGGAGTTGGACATGTAATTTATTCCAGCAGGAAGTCTCTCTTTATTCTTTCTACATCTAAAACATTCATTTTTAGGAAACTTCCTGTGTTTTAACTTCTTTCAGTTACAATTGTAAACTTTGTCTTCTGACAGTATAGAATAATAGCACAGGATGCTTGAAAAGGTTAGGTAATTTGACCATGTAAGAATTCTACACTTCTCTCTGGGGGTAAAAAGAAAGAACATGAATGAACTATGTGGTGGTGCACACTTTTAATCCCAGTACTTGGGAGACGGGGTGGCCAATCTCTGTGAGTTCAAGGCCAGCAAGTGCTATATAGTGGGACCCTGGCTCAAAAAATTGAGAGAAACATTTTAACATAAGCAGGTTAAGGGGTATGGCAAGATGTTTCAATGGGTAAAGGCATTTGCCACTAAGCAAGATGACCTGAGTTCAATACCTAGAACCCATGTGGTGAAAAAAGAGAACCAACTTCTACAAGTTGTCTTCTGACCTCCAAACATGTACATGCACACATATATACATATATACACATATATACATTTTATATGAAGAAATATTTTTATAAAGTAAACGTTAAAAAAATTTTTTAATGTTAAGAGTTGTTTATTAGATATGGTGGTGCACACCTGTAATTTCAGGACTGTGGAGGATTTCTGCATGTTCTGAGCTAGGGGTCTACATAGTGAATTCCAGATCAGCCATGCCTACACAACAGAATGCCTTGAGGGGAGAGAGAGAATAAATAAATGAATATGAATGAGTCTGCGTGCAGCACACAAAGAAGAAATAAACAATAACTATATGGAAGAATGTTTAATTTTCATACAAATGCTATTTTTGTTTCTCAATTTTGGCAAAAACTAAGTATTTCTTTAAAAATTCATAGAGTTGGGACAGGAGAGATGGCTCAATGGTTAAGAACTTTGGCTGTTCTTCCAGAGGACCTGGGTTCAATTCCTAGCACCCATATGGCAGCTCATAACTGTCTGTAACTCCAGTTTCATAGGATCTTACACCCGCACAGACATACATGTAGACAAAACACCGATTAATGATTATAAAATAAAAATAATTTTATTTTTTAAAGGTGTTCATATTTTTAAAAATTCCTAGAAAACAAAGGCTGTGTTAGGATATATAACATTTTGCAAGTTTGGGTTTGCCTGATTTTGATATGATCTCACTACTCTGGCTAGCCTGGAATGTACCATATAGACTAGACTAGCCTCGAACAGAGATCTGCCTGCCTAGGTTCATGTACATGGTAGCTAGCTGTTATACCACCTCTGAGCTGCATCTGCAACCCACATTAAGCTTTTGAAGGTCAGTTTAGCTACGTAGAAAATTTTACAATGTGTACACTCTGATGGAATAATTCTATTCCAGGAATCTCTTTTGCAGAAAGACACATGCTTATAGGGATGGGGTGTTGTCTTTGTTAGAAACATTTCAGTGGTCCATCAGGGCAGAATTTCATTTTGATTTTTCAATACTCTGAAATACCACATACTGGTTAAAAAGATAAAGTAGATTCAATATGTAGTCACACACAGAAATAACGAGTATGCTGGTGTGTATTGGTAATCCCAACATTCCTTTAATCTTAGTACTCAGGAAACTGAGGCAGAAGGATCTAGAGCTCAAGACTAGCCTAAGCTACATAAGCCAGCCTGGTTACATGTCAACCCTGCCTCATGGTTTCATAAGATGGTTTAGCAGACAAAAGTGCTTTCCTTGCAACCCTGACAACCTGAATTTCATCCTTAGAACTATATAGAAAAGCTGATGCTGTTGAGATGTCTTGGCTCTATTACCCAACACTCCTTTGTGAGATGAGAGGTGCAGACAGGAAAACCAGTCAGAAGCTGGAAGCCCAGACATATCACAGGGCAGAAACACCAAGGGACCTTGCCTTAAAAACAAAAGTAGGAGAGATTCAACTCCCTTGGCACACATATGCACAAATACCTAAATAAAGACAAATGTTTTTTGTTGTTTTGTTTTGTTTTGTTTTGTTTTGTTTTTTAAGAAGACCCTATCTCAAACAAACACAAAGCCTAACAACTTTGTCCTAGAGCAAGTGAGAAGGGCAGTAGGGGAGGATAGTTCAAAAACAACAATCAGATGTGGGGGCACATACCTTAAATCCCAGCACTCAAGAAGAGACAGGCAAATCTGTGTGAGTCCAAGGCCATCCTGATCTACATGACAAGTTTCAGGATGACCAGACCACTCCAGAAAAAAAAAAAAAAAAAAAAAAAAAAGAGAAGAGCCAGCAGAATAAAATATAAGACAAGCTGTTCTGCAGTTGAGTTGTGGTTCAGCCATTAACAAGCATGGCCTTAACTTTGTGGAATTATAAGTTGCCCTTTCCAGTGTAGTTGGAGGACTAAATCTTGGCATTAAGACCTATCTATTCCTTAAGTGGTAAAGAGGACTGGCTGCTCTTCCAGAGGTTCTTAGTTCGGTTCCCAGCAACCATATCTATGACCATCTATAAAGGGAGCTGATTCTTTCTTTTGGCATGCAGTGGTATCTGCAGACAGAGCACTTATACACTAAAAAAATAACAAAATAAATTAATTTAAAAATAGTAATTATTTTTTTGAATTTTTGTGTCTGAATTTTTCTTTATGGATTTTTAAAGTGACACATATTTTTTAGCTTTTTAAGATTTTATTTTTATGTGTGGCTGTTTTGCCTGCATGTATGTTCATGTGTGGTAGTACCTTTGGAGACCAGAACACCACAGATCCCATAGAACTGGAGTTACAGACAGTTATGAGCTACCATGTTAATGATGGAAACTGAATGCCTGTCCTTGGGGAAACCACTAAGCCATTTCTTCAGCCCAGCACATCATTTGTATTAGCTATTCTTTCTATTTGATATTGTTCTCTTGAAAGTTTCTAATTTTTGTTTTAGTAAAATATGCCTTTGTGAATGTATATGTATGTATGTGTGATATATGGACGTCTGTGTGTTCGTACATGTGTGCTCTTGCATAGATGTCAGAGGTCAGTATCAGGAATCTTCCTCAGTTTGCTCTCTACATTTTTCCTTCTTTTACATCTTATTTGTATGTGCGGGCATGTGTGCTTGTGAGTGAATAATTTATGGGCGTTGGTCCTCTGCTTTTCCCATGTGGGTTCTGGGGATTGAATTCAAGTCGTCAGGTTTGGTGGCAGAAGCCTTTTCAGTGGCCCCACCACCTTACCTATTTATTTATTTATTTATTTATTTATTTGTTTGTTTGTTTGTTTATTTTTGAGAAAGTGTCTCTTACACTGAATGCGAACCTTGGTTGGGTTAGGCTGGCCAGCCAATAAGCTCTAGAAATCTGCCTGTCTTTGCACCCTCAGTGCTGGGGATCTGAATTCAAGTCCTCATGCCTAAATGGCAGGCACTTTGCTGATCAAGCCATCTCTGTAGCCCCAGAATAGGCTTTTTCTTAATGCTTTCTGGATCTTATTGTTTGTTGATTCATTAACACACTTACTAAGCACATATCTTTTGCTAAGTATTTTACCAAACACTAGAAATCCGAACACATGCCAGACGGGTTATCCCTGACCTATGGGCTTATATGATAGTCCATGTGCAGAGCCAGATTTGAAATCTGCACTGCATGACTATGAAAAGATTCACCTACATTTCTACTAGTGACTAAGTCCTTCAGGCCTTGTTCCATCTGATCCTGTGCCCTTCTCTGTCGGCCCTCTGCCTGCAGGTGTCCTGGTAAAGGTGGTGGAGGTATACTTCTGTGAGCGCTGTGAACAGAGCTTTGCAGAGCCCACTCTGCTCTCCCTGCACGAGTGCACGGAGACCCGTGTTCAGGCTGTGCAGGACCTCTCTAGCCCCCCATGCTCTGTCGAGCTGCCCCCCAGCAACCTCACCCTCCATGGCCCTCTGCAGGATCCCAGCCTGCCAGATAGCCCCCTGCCATGTCCTGTATGTAGACAAGAGTTTGCCCAACCCCAGGCCTTGAAGAGCCACTTCAAGATTCACCGGGTCACTCCCAGTACACTCTCCTGCCCAGAGCCTGGCTGTATGTTCTCTGCTGAGGATCGCAAGGGTCTGCAGCATCACCTGAGACAGACCCACAAGGCAGCTCCTGTGCCCTGTTCATTCCGGGGCTGCTCCCTGCTTTTTGGGAGCCACCAGGGAATGGAGCTGCATCGGCAGGCCCATTACCCTTTCCACTGCAGTCATTGCAGCTTCATGGGCTCCAACGTCAAACTCTTCCGGCAGCACCAGCGGAGCCATGGAGCCAGCACACAGGGAGAACTTCCCGCTGTTCAAGGCCTTCCAGCCCAGGAGCTGCTACCAGGTAGGTGGCCAAGGTCCACTAGCCCCGTGCCTAGAATGTAGCCACAGTTGATCTCTCTCTCTCTCTCTCTCTTATTGTTGTTTTTGAGATAGGGTTTCTCTGTATAGCCTTGGCTGTCCTGGATTAGCTTTCTAGATCAGGCTGTCCTCAAATTCACAGAGATCCGCGTGCACAGTTGATCTCTTATAAGAGATATTTGTTTCCAGTATGACTTCCATGTATATGACAGAATGAGAATTATTGGGTGATATGGGAAAGGCTCTAGAAAACTTGAACCAATTAGAATACATGGGACAAAAGGAAGCCATTGTCTATGATAGTCAATGAAATTTGGTTTATACAACATACAAGCTGAAATCATTTAGCATTTTTTTTCTGTTGATCCATTTCAGATCATGCTATCTAAGGATGAAAGTACCTGTCAGTGACTATTGCTACTAGTAGAATGTTTATAGACTGCCTTTAGAATGAATGAAACTGGAGCTGGATAAAATGGTACATGCCTGTAATCCCAGCACTTTTGAGAAGGTTAGAAGGTCATTTTTAGCTATATAGCAAGTTTCAAGCCAGCCTAGACTATATGAGATTATGTCTCAAGCAAGTATAAATAAATAAACCATGTGAGAGTAGACAGAATAGAATTGTTTTAAAAAGAAATCTCTGGAAGGGTAGTACTTTATCAATTTCTACTTTTAGTCTCAAAAGCAACAAAATGATATGAGGTGACTAGAGAAGCAGTAATAGAGAAAATAGACCAGGAGAGGGCAGACTATGAGAACTTGCTGGGCCCCTTTTTTTTGCCATAATGTCTAATGAGAAAGAAGGCCTTTCAGGGTAAAGTATGAACCTGAAGTCCAAATTAGGCTCCTCAGTAGAACACTGAGCAGTTGCTATGTGTGTCTCTGCTTTGATCCATCTAGCCTTTAGCTCTGAAGACCTGGGCCAAGAAAATGTATTCCACTCTCATCTCTTGGCCCCTCCCATCTCCCAGTGACTTGAAAATTCTGACCTTCAAGGAGTCTAAGTTGTTCATTATCACAGATTTTTAGACTAGGTTTTTACTCTTGGTCTTTAGATCCCTGTCTTGAATAAAAATACATGTATTTACTTAGCATCTAAGATACTTTTCTGCTAAAAGGAGAGAAGGGGAATTCTGCTTGCCAGTAAGTAAAGTACCAGTATTCAGTATTGTTGTTGGCCCTTGTTGACTTCAAACTGTATGTGTCCCAGCTCCCAAAATGCCTCCAGGAGAGGGAGAGCCTTCTGAGAAAGCAGATACACCTTTGCCTGGGAAGGAGTCAGCTGAAGAAGAGGATGTAGAGGAAGAGGAGAATGGCACCCAAAAGGACGCCCAGAAAGTCTTGGATAAAAGCCAAGGGGCTCAGCAGTTGGAAGGTAATAACATTGCTGAATTTGAAGCTCTTTGTGGTAGAGAGGAATGAATAGTGGGAAACCCGACATCGAGGCCCTAGATGTTGTTTTCTGAGCTTTAGTTCAGATCCATGTATTCTTTCTGTTCTATTTAGATTCAAAAATCAAGATCTAGGGCTATGGAAATTACTCAGCAATACAGTACATCCTTAGCATGTATGAGTCCTTAGGTTTAATCTCAAGGACTTAAAAATAGCAGTAAAGTCTAGTAGGCAGTAATAAATAGGTCAAGTAAGCTAATAACAGCACTGTGGTAATTATGATTTGTTCTTTTAGGCAGTTTTCTAAGCCAGGGTCTTAGTTAGGGTCTGTTGCTACAAGGAAACACCATGACCAAAAAGCAAGTTGGGGAGGAAAGGGTTTATTGGGCCTACAGTTCCATATCACTGTTCATCACTGAAGTCAGGAAAGGAATCCCAAACAGGCCAGGCACCTGGAGGCAGGGGCTAATGCTGAGGCCGTAGAAATAAGATTGCTTACTAGCTTGCTCTGTGGCTTGCCCAGTGTACTTTCTTACAGAACTCAGAGCTACCACCCCAGGGGGTGGCATCACCCACAATGGGCTGGTCCTTCCCCCATCAATCACTAAGAAAATTACGGCTGGCCCACAGCCCAATTTATGGAATCATTTTTCTCAATCAAGATTCCCTCTCTCTGATGACTTTAGATTATGTCAAGTTGACATAAAACTACCCAGTATAGCCATAGACCTCTTTAACTCTTTAGGGAAAGGGTTCTGTTCATTATAGAGGTAGCATAGATATTGGTAATCAACCTGTTTTGTCTAGCTTCCCTAAGACTTTTTTTTTTTTTCCCCAAATCTTTGCTTCTAGTTTCAAACTCAATAGAAGCGCTTGAACTTCATCCCACAGGAATTATATTTTTGTCTGGTAAATAAAAGAGATCTGATTGTATTATTACCAGCTCTCAATTATTTAGAGCTCGGTGAGCCAGTATTGGCTTTCTTTCTGCTCACTCATCTTGAGGTTCTTTCCTTCTCATCAGCCCTGATGATCTTTCTGCTTGTCTGTATAGAGCAAGGGAAGGAAGAATAAGAAGGCTCTATCTAGAGTCTCTTGTGCAATTCCAAACACAGGATAGGAATAGTGAGTGACTCAGGAAAACACTTGAACCAGGCCACAAGAAAATATGAGTAGTCCATGTGGTTCTGTTTCTCTTAATTGAGGAATTTCTTACTACTTATTTGAGACTCTTGTGTTTGGTTTTTATGAAGAGAAAGGCCACATGATATTTACGTCTGGACAAGCTGTGGCTTCCATTCTATAACATTATCTAATGAACTATTGAGAATCTGACTCCGAACCCTGTGCATTCTTTCTCACAGAGCATGTGGCTTCAAGCACTGAGTCCCTCTTCAAGACACACATGTGCCCAGAGTGCAAACGCTGCTTTAAGAAGCGGACCCATTTGGTGGAGCACCTTCATCTCCACTTCCCCGACCCAAGCCTCCAGTGTCCCAACTGCCAGAAGTTCTTCACCAGTAAAAGCAAACTCAAGACCCATCTGCTGCGGGAGCTGGGTGAGAAGGCCCACCGATGTCCCCTATGCCACTACAGTGCAGTGGAGAGGAATGCCCTTAACCGCCACATGGCTAGCATGCACGAGGACATTTCCAACTTCTACTCAGACACGTATGCTTGTCCTGTTTGCCGTGAAGAATTTCGCCTCAGCCAAGCGCTCAAGGAGCACCTCAAGAGCCACACAGCAGCAGCTGCAGCGGAGCCATTACCCCTACACTGCTTTCAGGAGGGCTGTGCTTATGTAGCCCCCGACCGTAAGGCCTTTGTAAAGCACCTAAAGGAGACCCATGGAGTACGGGCTGTGGAGTGTCGCCATCATTCATGTCCCATGCTCTTTGCCACAGCTGAAGCCATGGAAGCCCACCATAAGAGCCATTATGCTTTCCACTGTCCCCATTGTGACTTTGCCTGCTCCAATAAGCACTTGTTCCGCAAACATAAGAAGCAAGGCCACCCAGGCAGTGAAGAGCTACGGTGCACCTTTTGCCCCTTTGCCACCTTCAACCCAGTAGCCTACCAGGATCATGTTGGCAAGATGCATGCTCATGAGAAGATCCACCAGTGCTCTGAGTGCAACTTCGCCACCGCCCACAAGCGGGTGCTTATCCGACACATGCTGCTGCATACTGGTGAGATGCTTCCATCCTTATGATAATGTAATAATGGTATTGAAGGTAATGGCTGCTTTGAGCTTTTGCTGTGTACCAAGAATTACAAAGGGCGTTGCGTACATTGCGTCATTTGACCTCATTTATGGACACAATTCCAGTATCCCAAGTTTACAAGTGAGGTACGAGTTGAGTGTCACTCAACTAATAAAAGCAGTCAAGTTAGTGTTAGAATCCATGCAGTCTGAGTTCAGAAGCTGTGCTCTAACACTAGACTGTCTTTCCTCCCCGTTAAGCACGTGTCCAGTTCCAGCCAACCGTAGTCAGGTGCAGATGGGATTCGGCCTTTATAGTGAAGAAATTCAGACCAGGACAGATAACTTCCTTTATAATTCAAGTTTGGGGACACTCCGCTGGAGCAGAAGAGACAGTAACCAGCCACCCATATACATTGTGGCTTTCCTTAGAAATGAACATGATCACCTCTAGTGACCTGAAAATTGTTTTATGTTGGACTGCTTTTTGTTTCTTTGTTTGTTTTTTGAGACACAGTTTCTCTGTAAAGCCTTGGCTTTCCTGGACTCACTTTATAGACCAGGCTGTCCTCAAACTCACAGAGATCTGCCTGCCTCTGCCTCCCAGAGTGCTAGAGTTGCAGCTTTATCTTGGACTCTTAATTGGTTGTAAGCTTTACTGAGGCCTAAGATGTCAGCTAAATCAGGCTTCCTCCTACAGCATCATCTCTTTGAACTATGCAGACATCTTTACATTGATAACCCATTAAGCTCATTTCTATAGGTTCTCCTAACCTAGCTCAATGGTTAGGAGAATAATCTTTAAACAGTTTGGTCAAAGCTATTGTTATTCCCATTGAACAGTTCATTTCTGAACACTATTTAGTTACAGATGCTAGTTTCCAAGGCCTTTTCCTAAAGCATGTTTCTGTGTAGTGTTACATAGTTTATAGTGTTCTTTTATATGTATTATCCTATTTAACCCTTAACAATCTTGTAAGCAAGGCAGGTAAAGATAAGAAAAAAAATTTAATTGAAAGTTAAATTTAGGTCTACATTAAGAGCACAGTGAGCACCTGGGTGCATTGGTGCACACCTATAATCCCAGCACTCAGATAGACAGAGGCAGGGCAATCTCTGTGAGTTCGAGGCCAGGCTGGTCTACAAAGTGAGTCCAGGACAGCCAAGGATACACAGAGAAACCCCTGTCTCAAGAGCAGAGAGAGCTATTTTGCCTGCCCTTTACCATACACAGGTGGCCAGAGGGGTAGGGAAGGTCTTAAAGGAGCATGGCCAGCGGCCTCTTAGTGTCCGGTATTAATCAAGTTCTGGGACAGCTCATCCTGGAGTTCTCACTATGCACCACTGAAAACTTTGGCATGCCCCACTTTTTATTTGTTTGTTTGTTTATTTTTCTCTGTGTAGCTCTGGCTGTCCTAGAACTTGCTCTGTAGACCTGGTTGGCCTCAAATTCAGAGCTCTACTTGCCTCAGCCTTCTGATTAAAAGTGTCCACTGGGCAGGTGTGTCTCCGTTAACAGTCGCAACCAATCACGTCAGGTCTATATTTTGTTCCCTTTCTGGAAACAAGGAAAGGGGCTGCCCAAGGCCATGTGGTCCACCATTTAATAAAATAGTTGTGTGATTTCTCTGTGCCTTGATTTTCCCACCTATAAAATACAGATAATAGCAGTATCTTTGTAGTGTTGTTTTGAAGACTCATTGAGAGGAGGCACATTATGCAGTGCTCAGGCACATAATGAGCATTGTATAAATCTTGGCTGTTCATACACATTGCTCTATTGGACTCTACAAGCCCCAGTTCTGTTTCTTCTCTTGTTCAAATCTCTACTCAGAAAATGAGAAGGAATTGAGTTACAGGTGCCAACTACTTTAAAAAAAAAAAAAAATCAAAGGTAGACTTTAATCTCAAAGCTTACTCAGTGCTTACTTTCTTCCCTTCATCGATGTAGGAGTTGGAAAAATTGTCTGAGACAACTGTAATGTAGCTTTATTTCTTGTGAAGTTTGCTACATACCTGGCAGTACATAAAGCTTCTGCTCCTGCCTGGCATCATAGCTAACTTGCTGGAAGAGATGATAGGGCCACTCACCCAATCTATATTTGACCTGTGTTCTTTCCCCTTTACACAATATAAGGAGAGAAACCTCACAAGTGTGAGCTGTGTGACTTCACTTGCCGAGATGTTAGCTACCTATCCAAGCACATGCTGACCCACTCCAACACCAAGGATTACATGTGTACTGAATGTGGCTATGTCACCAAGTGGAAGCACTATCTGAGTGTGCACATGCGGAAACATGCAGGGGATCTCAGGTATGAGCACACACATTTCCATCACTGTCCCAAGAATGTTATGTTAAGTCGGCCTCTTGGATCAGGCTTCTGGCCCCACTGCTTTCTCTATTCTAAAACCATTCTCTGCTCCTTCTATCTTAGCCATGACTTTCAGTTGAGCCCTGTGTTTGTAACCCATTCTGCATGGTGAGAGTATTCTGGGCCAGGTGAAGGAAAATAGATTAAACTGTCACTTAAGGCCTGAGGAGATAACTCTGTCAGTAAAGTGCTTGCCTACAATCATGAAGGTCTGATGAGTTCAATCCTCAGAACTCAAATAATACTTTTAAAGAAACAAAAGTATTGCTTGAGTTGTGAGAATCTGGTCTCAGGAAAGTGGAGCTACACTTAATGGTACCAAATGGCCACTTAAAGATCTGGACAAATTCTCTAACCTGTGGACACAACTGCCTAGGGGTTTGGCCTATAGCTTTTATACCTACACTGGGGAATGAGAACAAAGCCCAAAGATCTGCTCCATGGAGCTATTGCTATGCCAGGCCTTAAAATTCAGGTGAGTAGTACCACCCTAGCACACCTGCCCCACCCTACTCAAAATACTTTCCTATAGAAAATAGTTTAGAGATTCTAGTAGAACACTTCCCTAACACTCACAAAATCTGACGGTTCAATCCCCAGCACCTCAGGGCAGGGTGGAGGTGGGGCAATATAGAGAATAGAGAGCCCCAGCTTTGAAGTTAGGCTGTCTCTGCCCATCACTTCTTTTGGGACCATCTTTAGGCAGGCTCTTAACTCAGCCTCACCTATAAAGTAGAAATAGCTATTTCTCAGGATGGTGGGTGGCAGGTTAAATCAGATGGTTCATGAGCAGCCCAGAGTGCAGCCCCAGGCCAGTGGTCTTTAGTCAGCAAGTGTTAACTGTTAAAATTTATTGTTGCAGTTGACTGCCATTTGTCCTTCTCCCAGATACCAGTGCAACCAGTGCTCCTACCGCTGCCATCGGGCTGATCAACTGAGCAGCCACAAACTGCGGCACCAGGGCAAGTCCCTCATGTGTGAGGTGTGTGCCTTTGCTTGCAAACGGAAGTATGAGCTGCAGAAGCACATGGCTTCCCAGCACCATCCTGGCACACCTGCCCCACTCTACCCCTGCCGCTACTGCAGCTATCAGAGCCGCCACAAGCAGGCCCTGCTGAGCCATGAGAACTGCAAGCACACTCATCTCCGTGAGTTTCGCTGTGCCCTCTGTGACTACCGTACCTTCAGCAACACCACACTCTTCTTCCACAAGCGGAAGGTTCATGGCTACATGCCGGGGGACCAGGTTTGGCAGTTCTGCAATGCCAGCCAAGAGTCAGAGGGACCCAGGCAGTGCCTGGCACCTCCTTCAGACTCAGGGCCTTCAAGCCAGCTTCCTGCCCAGCCTGACAGACAAGACCTTGAACGTGGGAATGTGGCAGGCTCCAATGTGGACCAGGCTTCGCCAGAGATAACTGATGAGGTCAGCACCAAAAGACAGGAGGACACTGAGGCTCCCCAAGGGGATGACCCGGTTGGCAGCCCCAGCCTAGGGGAGGTGGAGGAGGGAGGCTGCACTCTACACTTGGAGGCCCTGAGAGTAGAGCTAGAACCTGAGGCAGAGCCACCACCCCTTGAGGATCTTACTGAAGCAACTGCTGTGGAGTTGAGGCCTTTAGATCCCTCAGGACCACTAGGAATGGTAAGAGCAGATGGGCTAGAAGAGCCAGAACTGTCCAGCTTTGAAAGTGTTGGGACTCCAGGCTTGGTTGCTGAAGAAGAGCCCATTATGGAGAAGCTAGCCCCTGAGCCCCCCAGAAATTCTCTAGTCTCTGAGGAGGCTCCTAACATGGGCAAAGACTCTGCTGAGACTTCACCGCTGCCTCAGTTTCCTGAATCAGAGTCACTGCTTAAGGCCCTGAGGAGGCAGGACAAAGAACAAGCAGAAGCATTGGTGCTGGAGGGCCGGGTACAAATGGTAGTGATCCAGGGAGAAGGGAGAGCCTTCCGCTGCCCACACTGTCCTTTTATCACTCGCCGGGAGAAAGCCCTAACTCTGCACTCCAAATCAGGGTGCCAAGGCCGCCGAGAGCCCCTGCTCTGCCCAGACTGTGGAGCTAGCTTTAAGCAACAACGTGGCCTTAGCACCCATATGATGAAGAAATGCCCTGTTCTTCTCAGAAAGAACAAGGCTTTGCCCAGACCTGTCTCTCCCACTCTACATCCTCAGCTGCCGGGTAGCCAAGCTTCACAGGATGCTGAAAGTAAGAAGCCCCCACCGTTACCATCAAAGGTAGAGCTCTTGCTACCAAAAGATGTTCCTTCTGAGCTCCCGGGGAAGCCAGGAGTAGAGGAACCTCTACCCACACCCTCTGACTTCCCAGCCTCTCCATCAGGAAACTCCTTACCCACAGGAACCTCTGAGAAGTTCCACTTTGAGCAAGGCAAGTTTCACTGCAGCTCATGCACATTCCTTTGTTCTCGGCTTTCCTCTATTACCTCTCATGTGACTGAAGGCTGCCGAGGGGGTCGTAGCCAGGGAAGAAAGCGTGGGCGCTCCCAGACCCGTGCTGTTGTGCTCCCCCTGAACAATGGGGACTCTGCCCTCCTGAATAGTGGGAGTACAGACTCCAGCCCTGGTAATAGGGACACAGCTATGGTTCCGAAGCAGAGTGGTGCCCTCTTCTCCTGCCCCACGTGTCCCTTTAGCTGTCAGCAAGAACAAACCCTGAGGACTCACCAGACCCAGGGCTGCCCCCTTGAGTCTGGAGATCTGCACTGTGGTCTCTGCCCATTCACTGCTCCTGCTGCTGCTGCCCTGAGGCTTCATCAGAAGCGGAGGCATCCCACTGCAGCCCCAGCCTCTGGCCCCCGGCCCCTTCTGCAGTGTGGAGACTGTGGCTTTACCTGCAAGCAAAGCCGATGCCTTCAGCAACATCGACGGCTCAAGCATGAGGGCGTGAAGCCACATCAATGTCCTTTCTGTGACTTTTCTACTACTAGACGGTACCGGTTAGAGGCCCACCAGTCTCGACACACAGGTGTTGGCCGCATCCCTTGCAGCTCCTGCCCCCAGACATTTGGTACCAACTCAAAATTGCGTTTGCACCAACTACGAGTACATGACAAAACGCCCACCCACTTCTGTCCACTCTGTGACTATAGTGGTTATCTTCGCCATGACATCACTCGCCATGTCAACAGCTGCCACCAGGGCACCCCATCCTTTTCCTGCTCTCAGTGTGAGGCCCAGTTTAGCTCAGAAACAGCACTCAAGCAGCATGCTCTGCGCCGACACCCCGAACCCACACATCCGGCCTCTGGCAGTCCTGTAGAGGCCACTGAGGGGCCCTTGCACTGTTCCCACTGTGGCCTGCTCTGCCCTAGTCCTGCCAGCCTGCGAGGGCACACCCGTAAACAGCACCCAAGGCTGGAGTGTGGGGCCTGCCAGGAGTCCTTCCCTAGCCGTCCAGCCCTGGATGAACATCGGAGGCAACAGCATTTCAGCCACCGCTGCCAACTCTGCAGCTTTGCTGCCCGGGAGCGAGTAGGCCTGGTGAAACACTACCTGGAACAGCACGAGGAGACTTCAGCGGCCCCCTCAGATGGGGATGGAGGTGGTGACCAGCCCTCTCTCTGCTGCCCATTCTGTGACTTTGCATGTCGCCATCAATTGGTGCTGGATCACCATGTAAAGGGACATGGAGGCACTCGGCTCTACAAGTGTACTGACTGTGCCTATAGTACCAAAAATCGGCAGAAGATCACCTGGCACAGCCGCATTCACACTGGGGAGAAGCCTTACCGCTGTCACCTCTGCTCCTATGCCTGTGCTGACCCTTCTCGACTCAAGGTAAGGTCAAAGACCACATGATAGGAAAGTCAAGGAATGTAGGCTCTAGATTCTATAATGTCTGTATGTTACACATGTGCCTAGTCACTGCAGAGCCGGGAGAAAATGTTAGATCCCCTGGAACTGGAGTTATGACAGTTGTGAGCTAACTTTGCCATACGATAAAGGCATATAATACCTTGAGAATAATCTGGGTAGTAAGAGCTAACATTTATTAAGCACTCACTTTAATGCCCAGTACTAACATTTTTTTAATCCTTTGAAAAATACAAGTTGGGTCCTTGGGTAGGGAACTCAGTGCTAAGTGTGATTGCCTAATATACACAAGGCCTTAAGTTTAATCCCCACATCATATACACATACACAAGGAGATAGATACTTGTACTATTCCCCATGTCAAAGATTATTAGACAGAATTAGGGCTTAGCTTACCCAACAACATAGCTAGTAAGAAGCAAGTGAGACCTAAGGAGGTACTCCCTATGGTATGGGTAGTAAACATTCTGCATTTGGTCTTCCTTCCAGTACCACATGCGGATCCATAAAGAGGAGCGGAAATACCTGTGCCCTGAGTGTGGATACAAGTGCAAATGGGTCAACCAACTCAAATACCACATGACCAAGCACACAGGTAAGTGTGTGAACTGACTGTCCTGCATAAAGGATTCCCCTCTTCTCTGAAAAACGTGGCCTACCTGAGATGTTGGATGTCCTCTCTCGATTCAGAGCCTACATCAGTTTTCACACTGGGAATAGGGGTTACACTGGAAGAGCAAACACTAGAAATGGCTCCCCAGCCCATTCAGTAGAAACCAATGAGTGGGTAAACCTGAAATCTTGGGCAAGTATATTTGCAAAAGCTGACCCAGTGGTTATGATGCATGTTCACGCACTCAAACAGTCACACATGGAGACCCTCCAACTCAGTTTTGAGTAACTACTGAGAGTGGTTTCTATGTAGATGTGATGGAATGATTATGAGTAAGAAGAAAGGGGAAAGTGCCCCCTTTTGTTAAGTTTTATTTTTTATGTGCATTGGTGTTTTGTCTGCATGTACATCTTTGTGAGAGGTGTCAGATTCTCTAGAACTGGAGACAGACATTTGTGAGCTGCCCTGTGGGTGCTGGGAATTGAACCCAGGTCCTTTGGAAGAGCAGCCAGTGCTCTTAACTACTGAGCCATCTTTTCAGCCCCAAGTTCCCTATTCTTTTTTCCCCCTGAGAGAGAGAGAGAAAGTATGTGTGTATGTTCTCTCTGCAACCCTGGACTGTCCTGGACTCGCATTATAGACCAAGATGGCCTCGAACTCACAGAGATGTGCCTTCCCCTGCCTCCCAGAGTGCTGGGATTACAGGCTTGTGCCACCACTGCCCCGGCAAGTTCCCTATTAATTTCTTTTTTCCTCTCTAGTGTATAGAATCCACAAACAGTGGGTTCTCTGTAAAGGATTAATGATTGGGTACCTTCAGTTACAGCATGTGATACCCCCGTATGCGGAGAACTATCTTTACCTCTTCTTTTTTGAACATTTTCTCCTATTTTTTTTAGTCTGATAAGGAAGTGTGTCTAAATGGAGTCTTTAAGTTCTATAGTATCATATGACCAAGGAAGGGTTAGAGTTTCCCATTTAATAACTTTGTCATAGTTGAGTATTCTTTTCTATCAGGTAGGCTAGTTGGTTAGAAGTCCAGTTAGTCATCACCATCCATTGGTACCTGTGTGTATACAAGGATTGAATGGAGAAAAGCAAAGGACACTGGAACGCCAGGTGTGGCTGACACAGAATGGTATGGTCGTTAGCTTACTGCTGTGTTGTTTATATCTAAGTATCATACTGACTTACGATTCACTGACCCTTGTTCTCCCTCTACCATGACTTGTGCTTGTTTTGTAGGACTGAAGCCATATCAGTGTCCCGAGTGTGAGTACTGCACCAATCGGGCTGATGCACTGCGTGTACACCGGGAGACACGGCACAGAGAGGCACGGGCTTTCATGTGTGAGCAGTGTGGCAAGGCATTTAAGACACGCTTCCTGCTGCGCACCCACCTACGCAAGCACAGTGAGGCCAAACCCTATGTTTGCAATGTTTGCCACCGTGCTTTCCGTTGGGCTGCTGGCCTGCGACATCATGCCCTTACCCACACCGATCGACACCCATTCTTCTGCCGCCTCTGCAGCTACAAGGCCAAGCAGAAGTTCCAAGTGGTCAAGCATGTGCGCAGGCACCACCCTGACCAGGCTGACCCCAACCAGGGTGTGGGCAAAGACCCCACCACTCCGACAGTGCACCTACATGATGTGAAGCTAGAAGATCCCAGCCCTCCTGCTCCCCCTGCTCCCCCCACTGGACCTGAGGGCTGAGCCCTTACCCCATCTCTGGCATAGGAAGAGTATATAGTCCAAGATATGCAAACCGGGACTATAGCTAGCCTGAGGAGCTCAGGGCCTGAGGGAGGACTGGCTTTGGAGTATCAGTTTGGCTGGAACACTCCCCACCCCTGGACTCTGGTCTTTGAAATTAACAGCTATATAAAAGATAGGCTTGGACTAAAATGTTGATTCCCTCTTCAATAGTGCTATGGTTTGTGACTGAATCTCCAGTGTCTACCATTGTTGCATCAGAGTACCTGACTGTAAGGGCTTTGTTTTAATCACTCCATCTCTCTCCTCTTTACTGCTTCAAGTCCTGTTTTCTTTCACCATTTTCTAAACAGTTGTATCTAGTTGCATGTGTTCTGTGCCTAATGCTCTGTAAAGCATGTGAAACAGAAGATAACCAGTTAACAGACTTGTCTGGATCCATCCTATCATTACTAGGTTGTCATGTTGGTTTGCCCTGTCTCTTCCTGCCATCTGTCCTTTGTCTCTTCTGCCCCAAATAGGTTTTGAAACAGACCCAGATCATCAGGCTGTCCAGGCCCTTTCTTCCCTTGCTCCATTTCAAGCTCTTATTTGTCAGAAGAGGATTCCCACCCTCAGATTCCTCCCAGAAAAAGCTTTAACCATCAGCTGGCTCAGTAGCTACATCAAGGAGTACAATCATCAAGCAATGTAAAAGGCCTAACCAGGGAAGGCCGTATACCTGTTTTTCCTCTATTCCTTAGAAGCCTCTCTTCTGTGCCCTTCCTATGCAACACAAGGAAGAGAGCCCTTGGAAAACTTGTGTCTCTGAATCCCCTGATCCTCACCCCATCTTGCCCAACAGTGACAGCCCATACACCCATCTGACTACCCAAATGCTCTTCCTCTGCCCCATACTTTCCCCTCTGCCCCATAATTTTCCTTCTTGCCCACAATAACAGACCATACAACAGCCATATTGGACAGAGAAGCTCTATTTAGACCAGCTAAGGAGCAGCAGTCCAGCGGGAGTTCAGGGCTGTGTACCGTTCTCTGGAGAGTCATAGTTCTGGGGTTAGGAATTCTTCCCCAACCTTTGCTTGGGAACTTTGATCCTTGATTGGTCCCTTTGTTGCCTCTGGATTTTGAGGAAGTTGTAGATTAGAAGGGATACTGCAACTGTAGGTTTCTCTGCTTAAAGCCCCTCCCTGTGTTTCTAGTCAGAGGTACTGGGAATGATTAACAGATGATGTGAGAATGGGACTATGCCTAGGACAAGAATAAGGAGTGAACTCTACCATAGAGTACACAAAAGGAAAGGACAGAAAAGACGAGATGAGAGATCAGATCCTAGATTTGCTTAAGGAGGACAAGGTATGCAGGACATAGTAGCTCCTGCCTTTAATCATAGCATTCTGGAGGCCAAGGCAGATGGATCTCTTGAGTTTGAGGCCAGCCTGGTCTCCATAGTGAGTTCCAGGACAGCCAGAGCTATATAATAAGACCCTGTCTTAAGGGAGGCGAGGAGCAGGGCAATTTTGTACCTTGACATCTAAAGCCAACATATGTATCTGCTCTTGTGTGGAATACCCACCTCAGGACTCCTCCACCTCTAGGTCTTCCCGCATGCAGATGTACACAAAGATGGAAGCTGGGTGGAGGCTGGTGCCATCTTTAGTGAGCAAGGATATGTGTCGGTAACCTGGAAACGGGCAGAAGGACTGGATTAGGAAGAGAACCAGAGTTAAAATTGGTCAGGCATCCAAGGACTGTCTCACCTTGTTTCGAACAGGTCCAAGGCAGGGTGTATTGACCAATAAATTTATTTCGGGATGTCCAGTTATAATCCTTTACCACAAAACGCAGCATAACAAGTTCAGGCACTTGGACCCGGAAACAGAATGTCTCCCCCCAGTATGGATTAAAACCTGAAGTGGAGATAGGAATACAGGAACAGACTTACTGTCTTCATTAGGCCCATACTAAGTTGGTTTCCCTGCATTCTCTTTAATCTAGATGCCAGTCAGCATTTCACAAGTGCTTTCACATATAGCAGCAGGGGCTAGAGAACTGGCCCAGTAGTTAAAAGCACGTGCTCCTTTTCCAGAGGACCTGTGTTTGGTTTCCAGAACCCACACCTCATGAATCATAGCTGCCCTGTAACCCAGTCTGGGAAGTCTGATGGCCTCTTGTCCTCTGTGGGCACACACAGGTGGTGCACACACATACATATAAGTAAAAATATTTTAAGATAAAAAGCGTAAGGACTTTTCCCAATTTATAAGCCTGTGACTGTGTCACTTTGCCTCCCTTGAAAGTGCACAGTCACATAGACCAACCAAGTAGAGGATAGAAGGGACTCAGCAGTCTGGTCCTACACTTCCCATGCCTAGTCTCTCACCATTGTTCTCCACATAGTTGGTCTCTTGCTTCGCTGTGTCTTCAGGAACGCCAAAGACCTCTACTTCAACCAGTGGATCCACAACAGAGTTCTCTTTGGTTTTGTCCACTTTGGGGAGTCTTTGACCACTGATCACCTGCAACCAGGGCACTGGAACTTTATGAGTCCCTGCTCATCCCAGCCCTCCCTCACCCAGCCTTCACACCCTTCATAAGACAGGACCGGCACTATAGCTTTCATAGTTTGCAAAACTAATCCTGCATAGATGGTGTATTCTAGTTTCCAACCTAAAGTTTTTAAATAATCAAAAGGCTTGAAAGTAGGCACACCCATGATAATAGCCTTTTCTATAGTATTTCCTGTGTACCAGGAGTTCTAAGCACTTTTTAACCCAAAGTCCTCACAACCCCACGAGGCAGGTTATATAGAATTACCCCTGTCTTGCAGCTGAGTTTCCTGGAGTTACAAGTTGTCAGTGTTGCACAACTAGAAAGCGATTTGAAACTAGGCAATTGGCTTCAAAGTCTGTAGTTGAGTCAGGCTATACTCCCTCTCATGAAAAATTTATTTGTATTTTATATAGTTATTTATTCACTTATTCCATCTCACTGTGTAGCTCTGGCCTGGGATTAAATGTGTGTGCTATAACTCCTGGCAGAAAATTTTCAACTAGTGACACCACCACCACCCCGGCCAGTCATGCGCACACACACTCCCATTCCAGCCATTCCAGCTTCTTTCCAACAGTTCTGTCATACCTGGACTAAGAGGATCTTGGCCTTAAAAAGACTGATGGGCCTCTGGGGGTTGAAGGAACTCTGGATATCTTGAAGGAATTCTGGCTTCAGCACATAGCCAGAGCCACCATTCTGACGGAAGAACCCATCACAGATATCCATGGCACACCCTGCAGTCTGCATATTCATAGCCACTGAGAATCCCAGGGAAAAAAGAAAAGGTCATCTTGGGAGCTGGGTATGATACATACTTGCAAACCCAGCCCTCATGACAGGCAAGTGGATTCCCACAAGGTCAACACCATTCTAGTCTACAGCAGCAAGTTCCAGGCCAACCAAGGCTATATGCCCTGTTTCTCCTCCTTCCCCCCTCTATTCCTCTCTTCCCCTCCCCCTTTTTTGCTCTCTTTTGCATATATATATATATATATATATATACACACACACACACTTTTTTTTCTCTCTCACATATACACAACTAGATATTTGAGTATTATATGCATACACACAAATCCTTGTGAGAATTCTGGAATTTTGGTTTCTTTGAAAAACACAGAAATATTACAAGAAAGTGGGTTGTTTGTTTGTTTGTTTGTTTTAATACCAAGTATGGGGATATGGGGCTGCTTTGAACTGATCACAGCAGCTGACTATGATTTATTTGCCTCATCTTCTAGCAGAGGCATGGTTTTGCCAGCTGCAGATAGTTTCTGCACTTGTGTGACCTTTGGAATTCTGGGAACTTTACAGAGGGTGTATAAATGCTAGAGCCCCAGTTGGTTGGGGCCTAGGTGGTTGCTCATTCAAGGAGGTTGGTTGTGGTCAAAGAAGAAACAAAAAGAAAGAAATTGGGTTCAGGGATATTCTCTCTCTCTCTCTCTCTCTCTCTCTCTCTCTTTCTCTCTCCCTCCCTCTCCGTCCCTCCCTCCCTCCCTCCCTCCTTCCCTCCCTTTAGTGATAGGGTGTGAAACCACGGGGATAAAGGGTGGGACAAAAGAACCCACAAAGTAGCAAAGACCAGCTGCACATCCTCTTTGGCCTTTTAACCCCTCTTCCAGGGGAATTAGAAGGTAGTGGGTATAAGGATGGCTGCTGGAGCTGGGTAGCACACTTGGAGGACTGAAGAAGGAGGACAGAGTTTGAAACCAGCTTAGGCTATAAAACAGAATATGGTCCTCAAATCAGTGCCTGCTGGAAACATTCCAATAGACAGTACCACTTTTCTTACCTTTTCTTACTTTTTAAAAACATTCCTGACCCTATTTCCACTAGGGCATGTACCTCCCATCAACTGATCTCCACTCCCTTCCTTCCCATCCTCGCTGCTTTCTCACCCATTTGGCAGCCTGCATTCCAGAATTCCTGGGGTTTAAAGTTGGATGAATCTGTCCTCAGAGCACTGGGATACACACGGCATAACTGCCTGGCATTGTGCTGTACAAACTCGTTGCCTGTAAAAAGGTATAAGGAAGGAAATGGAAACTCTGTCTCTGTCTCCCTCTTCCCAAGTCCCAAGGAACCTTTCTACTTACTTCACTCGTCTCAAAATCTGAGGCTGGCTCCAGAAACCACCTCCCCCAAATTGTCTTCTTGCTAGGGCTTTGCATCCTCTATTCACAAACCTTTCCTTATGCGGGTTGGGAATGCAACTTAGTCAGGTCCTGCCTAGCAGGCATAAAGCCCTGGGTTTGCAAACCAGCAACCCCAGGTGATATGCCTGGGAAACGGTGATATGCAGGGTAATCCCAGAATTTGGGAGATAGAGACAAGAGGATCAGAAGATCAGGTGATCTTCAACCACAGAGCAAGTCTGAGATAGGACTGCGCTATGTGAGACTATCTTACGCCCTCTCTAAGAAGTTCTTAACTCCTTCATATCTCTATTGCTTCCTTGTTCTGTTTCTTTTTTTTTAATATTTATTTATTTAGTTAGTTAGTTAGTTATTTAGTCATTTATTTATTTATTGTGTATACAATACTCTATCTGCATGTACACCTGCATGCCAGAAGATGGCATCAGATCTCATTATAGATGGTTGTGAGCCACCATGTGGTTGCTGGGAGTGGAACTCAGGACCTTTGGAAAAGAAATCGGTGTTCTTAACCCCTGAGCCATCTCTCCAGCCCGTTGTTCTGTTTCTCACCTGCCTGCCTGCCAGGCCTGAAGCTGCCCATCCCACTTGTCTCCTGACCTGCCTCCCTGATGAGGTGCTTGGCCTTTGTCTCAGAGAAGGATGAAACATCATAGATGTGGTAGTTTTCTTTGGAATGAGTGAAGCTGAAGAAGGGAACAGTCCTCATGTAGAAAACCAGGGCAGACAGATCTGGGCACAAGATGGTCCTGGAATTCAGATAAAACTGGACAGGAAGATGGTATTGAATTTACCGTGGTCTGGAGAGAAGCTAGTGGCCATCCAACCTAAGCCTCTGCCCGTTGCCTCCCCACTGTACTCTCCCCGCTGCCTCACCTGGTTGGACAACAGAACGGACTCAAAAATGGAACTAGCCTGCCGAACCAATACATGACCACAGATATTCAGAAAAGTCATCGGACACGTCACAACCTGGGGGTGAGGATGGGAATAAAGGCAGTGTACAATATACTGCTCAGATCAGTTTCAGCTCTGGGTTTGGAAGGTTCTTTC